GGGGACACAGGTGTGCAGAGAGGGGACACAGGTGTGCAGGGAGGGGACACAGGTGTATAGGGAGTAGCATGCAAGTGTCCTGAGAGGGGAGATGCAGGTGTCCAATTAAAAGTGCCTACAGGTAGGGGTGATGGGGACGGGGAAGATGCTGCAGGTAAGCAGTGCTGAGTTCTTCGGGCTGAGTGGGGGGCTTGGGGGCACAGGGTCAGTACAGCAGTCCACCTCAGTGCTGCCCTGATGCAGGCTCGCTGAACGCGTCCAGCCTGCAGGAGGAGGAGCTCCACCTGTCCCTGCTGGTGTCCAGTGGCTGGAGGACCATCCGCTTCAACGTGGTGCCAGTGGTGAGGAGGAGGCACAGGTTAACCACCCCAGAGGGGACCCTGCTGGCAACTGGCTTCCCCATGGGCTGTCTGGAGAGAATTCTGGGCCAGGGGATGGACCTGGTGCCAGCCAGCGCCCAGCACTGGAGGTAAGACTTATCTCCTTGTCTGTGGGTCTGGGGGTGAGTGGGACTTCTCCCCAGGCAGAGGGCCCCCCTGCCTCTAGGACATTTATATTCTGTGAGAGTTTATTTACTCTCTCTGAGTAGGGGAGGGTGCCTCTCCTGCCCACCAGGTAAGCTAGGACCCAGTTCAGAAGGCCACAGCATCTCCCTTGCTCTCAGGTGGGAAAGCAGTTGAGGAGGTAGGGACCTGTAGTCACAGGTTCCAGGTGGTGAATGGGCCTCCCCAGGGACGTGCTAGACAGGGAGTTTCAACAGCTTTGGGGCTTTCTAGAAGTGTCCCTTGGCTAACCCTTCACAGACCACAGCATCTGACTTTCCCTTGAGGGACCCCCCACTTGAGGTGACTTGGGAGAGAGGTCCACCCACTCCGGGGACCCCAGCAACCCTTCTCCATCCCCAGGAGGTCTGAGGGCTCTGTGAGGGTCCCCTCGGCAGGGCGATTGGAGGGGTACCCCAAATTAGTGCCTATGAGAGAGCAAGAGGGAGGGGAAGTGAAGGGTCCAGGTCTTGGGTCACTTTCCTGTCGGCACCACGAGGCTGGCCTGGGTGCCCTAAGTCCCTTGCATTCTGGAGCTGGGAATCTACGTAAACACTACCTTTCACCCTTAGAAACCTGGTGGTCCCGTGGGGTTCAGGGGATTCCTGAAATTGGGGGGCGGCAAGCCTGGGGCTTCTTCTGGAGTGGTGAATTTTGGGGGTACAGGGACTCCAGTGCTAACCGGGTTTCAGGGTCTCCACCGACCACCTGCTGACAAAGCTGCTGAGCGTACTGGGCTCCCTTCCTGGCCACCGCCTAGACAGCCTCTCCATCCTGGACCGGGTCAACCATGACAGCTGGAGGGACGAAGGCCAGAGTGCGGGCCTGACCTTCAGCCACCTGAAGGTGGGTGTACTTGAGACCGGCCTGGCCCCTCGACCCTGTAAGCCAGAGGTCAGAAACACGCAGCACCTGGTCCCTCCCCTGTATGCTTTGGAGCTGGCTCTGTATGGGTTGGGAGACTTGGGGGCCTGCCTGGGTGGGAGGAAACGAGGCCATGGCTGGAGATGAGCACCAGGCAGGGATGCCGCCCCAGGACACCATCGCTGGGCCAGGACCACTGAGATCCTCAGCTTCAGGTCGTCTTGGTGTTGGGTCTAACTGAGAACTTCACTCCCACCCAGCTCCTCAGCAGAGGGGATCCTTCCCTCAAATGGAACCAGCCCCTCACCGGGAAGCGCCCCCCCCCTTCACACACACACCAGGGACTTAGGAAAGCCCACTTACAGCTCAGGGACCAGGGTAATACTCTTCTGTTCTCATGAACTCCTGTCATCTGGGGGCAAACCAAGTCCCCACGGGGCTTTGTAGATTGCTACAAGCTAGATTGGGCTGCTAATTGTAAGGTCTGCTCCACGGAAGAAAGTGAGGCAGGCCGCTCCCGAACAGATTTACAGTCTTGGATACCCCGTGAGTTGGAATCGACTCTTTAGTAGTGAGTTTGGTTTTTGGTTTGGTAACAGGAGCCGGGAAGGAGTCTCAGGTTGGGGGTTTGGGCTCATCCCTGGGCAGCATCTGAGTTGTACACTGGGTGCCGGCTTCCAGCAGTCTCCAGGTCTTCCCCACGGTGACCGAGAGGTGATGGGAGCTGGTGGGTGAGAGAGTGAGGTCATAGAAAGGCACATCCAGGAGGGGTGGGCTCTCAGGATGGAGGGACTGGGAACAGCCAGGGAAGTCTGTGCTTGCTGCTTTCACATCTTTGTCTGGACTCAGACCGGAGCTGGTCTGATGCCACCAGGTAGCCCTTTGGATGGGCTGCAGTGGACACACCAGATCTCAGTGGGCAGGTGCAGGAGGGAAAGGCCAGTGCTGCAGGGAACTCGGTGTCCTCATCACTGCACACAGAGGAGGGGAGGGCCAGGGCAGAGGTACTGACCGGCCACTCCGCCCTGCAGATGGTGCTGCTGTGGGCCTCAGTGCTCTTCCCGGCACCCGCGGACTGGACTGACCTGGAGGGCTCCGTGTACCGTCTGCTGGTGGTCTTGCTCTGCTGTCTGGCCACCAGGAATCTGCCCCACTTCCTGTGGCCAGCATGCAACCTGCTGCAGGCCAGTGACCTGGACCTTGGTGCCCTGTACCAGCGCGTGGAGCGCTTTGCCAGCCAGCCCGAGGCCTCCCTGCGCATCCACATCACCCACCTGGGCCCCACCCTACCGCCGCGCATCGACAACGGCGTTAAGTCTCTGCTGCAGCTGCCCGCCAGCGACCCAGCCTACTGGGTCACCGCCTACTTCGATGTCCTGCTGGACAAGGTGGGTGTGACTGGCTGGAGGGATCATGTGGGATCAGGGCCACTCACAGTGGGTACCTGGTCCAGCACCCTGGTCACCCAAGGCTAGGAGCCAAATCAGGTTTCCTCCATGTGGGGGTGGGGGGGCAGTGGGGGGAGAGGGTGCACAATTGGGCCTCAAGAAGCCCCTAGTGAGTGTCCCTCTGTGTTACACCTGTGCAGGGACCCCGGGAGAAGAGGACTCAGGGCTGGGTGGTATCCACTTGTGGGGAGGATGGTCCAGGTGATGGGAATAAGCTCATTGTCCTGCACTGTGGAAGTGGCCACTACATGTCTCTGTGGCCTTCTCCCCACAGTTCCAGGTCTTCAACATCCAGGATCAGGACAGGATTGCAGCCATGCAGAGCATCTTCCGGAAGACCAAGTCTCTGGGCGCTGAGGATAGCTGAGCAGGACCTGCTACAGGAGTCTCCTAATATGTGGAAAAGGACATTGGCTTTCACCTGGAGACAGGTGCTGGGTGATGTAACACCCTAGTGAGAGGTTGGGGGTGTTGAGCAAGTGGATGCTCTTGGACCTACTTTCTTGTTTTCACAGCAAGGACTTGGGGTGAAAATGCTGCGGGCTTCATGCCATGTCATGTTGTTCCCAGTGATGATGTCTTGTTGGTCCCAGTGATGATGTCATGTTGGCCCCAGTGGTGATGTCATGTTGGTCCCAGCGGTGATGTCAGAGTTCTTTCTGAAAATGGAGTGTCTGGGCTCATTCCTGCCTACACCACATGTTCTTACTGGGGATGAAATAGCACAAGTGTCATCTGGAATAAACGAAAGCATTGGGTATATGCAACCAAGTTGGTACCCACTGTGTGTGTGTCTGTGTGGAAATGTCCCCTAGAAACACAGAAATAGAGTAGACTGGTGTGGAGATGCTCTGAAATCCATCTCATCCTCCTTGAAGTTCCCCCTCCCCTTCAGGTGTCCCCCCTCCCATTTCATAGCTGGAACATCCATAGTTCCCATTGCCAGCCTGCCCCCCACCCACCCCAGTGCGTCTCCAGCCCACCTGCCCGGCATGGTCCTGCCTGTTGTGTAAGAGGACCTGTTCTGTGGCATCTGGGTGCCACCCCTACCCCCATTCTTGTTGCTTTATTTCCCAACCCATTGCAACCCAACTACAGCCCCTCACTCCAGGGAGCCACTGCATGAAGGGCCCTTGTGCCTCGACTCCGCAGACGGTTTCTGGTCTCCGCTTGCTCTGGGCTCTTGGTGGCATTTGCTCCTTAGCTTCTGAAATACAACCAAACTCTGGGCTCCTGGGACAGACGGCTGAACTAGTACAGCAAGCGTGTACCAGCAGCTGCCTCAAACCTCCTCCAAAGGAGCCTGTGGCCACATGCCGTAGTCGCTGCACATCCAGGAGCGCACCAATTCAGAGCCCGAGTTGGTGCTAACACAAGGAACATCCATCTCATCATGCCCACCTCATTAGAGTGCGGGCTTGTAGAAACAGACTCTTGTCCCAATGTACCTGTCACTGTGCCCGATGGCCATTTCACAGGTGCTGAGTGAGTTGATGGCCTCCTTAGAAGTGTAAAAGCCATAATGTCAGGAAAGGCCAAGGAGAAGACCTTGAAGCCACCCCTAATTCCATGGCAAAAATAGTCCATCAAAGCGATACGACATCCCATGTGTAATGGTAGAGCTTGGTGCCCCATGGGAAACACAGGGGGTTCATAAACTGAACCTGTAACCCAAGTCCTGTCCTGGGTGTGGTATCGTTTAGACTAGGACCACACAACCTCTGGAACTGGCCACATGGTCACCGATCCCCATCAGTAAGGCGAATCAGAAACAGTTTTCATTTACCGGAAACAGGTAACAATATCACTTCATGATATCACCCTTGTTGTTGTTGTTATGTGCCGTGGAGTCGGTTCCGACTCATAGCGACCCTGTACAGGGTTTCTGAGGCTGTAAATCTTTACGGGAGCAGAAAGCCTCATCTTTCTCCTGCAGAGCAGCTGGTAGTTTTGAACTGCTGACCTTAAGATTTGCAGCCCGATTCATAACTACTAGGTTCCCTAGGGTATGTTAATCCTTCTGATCTGTGCCACAATATAGTATTTTATGTTTCTGTTTATTTTATGTTTCTGTTTATTTGTTAAGTGTTGTTGACTCAGTTCTAACTCAGAGTGACGCTATGTAGGGTCTCCCAGGAGTGACCGACTGGTGGGTTTGAACTGCTGACTTTAAGGTTAGACTCATCTTGACCTTGTGTAGTATTCATGCTGTTTCACTGCATTGATGAAATCATGTTTCTCAGACTTGGGGAGTATTTACTAGAAAGTACTTTGGATGTTCTATATGAGACACTCATTCCAAAGCGCGGGAGATGAGTCTTAGGAAGTTTCACAGACATGAAGATGGCGGTTCAGTGGTCTTGCGCATGTGGATACATTGCTCCAAGTGGTATGGATTGAATTGCGTACCTCCAAAATGTGTGTTGGAACCCTAACTCCTGTACCTGTGATTCCACGTGGGATTGTTTATGCGAATGTGGCTCTATCAGTGTAAGGTGTATCCAAAACCTAATCACTTCTAAGTCACAAGGAGACACAGAGATAAGCAAATACCAATGGGAGATCCCAAGGAAACGAGAGACAATAGAAGCCAAGATAAGAATCTTCTCCCAGAGCTACCACAGAGAGAGCGCCTTCCCCTGAGAGCCAGTGCCCTGAGTTTAAACTCCTAACTTCCTGAACAGTGGGAAATCGGTTTCTGTCCTGGAAAGCCATCTCTTTGTGAGGTTTCTACTACAGTTGCACAAGTCCCTGAGACATGAGGTAAAGCAGAAATTCACCGACTGCCAATCAAAGACAGTGCTGGCTGGCCTCACGGGATTATGGAGGCTGTCTACACCTCACTGAGGAACGCCCATTTGTTGGGTGACTCAGAAAACTAGTTTGGAGTGAGGTCAGACTCATGACACCATACACGATGATGCTGGGGGTGTCCATGTGGGAAGGGACGCCTTATCAGGGGAGCTGACCACAGAGATCTGGAGCAAGGCTACGTTATCTGCAGCAGAGAATCACCCACTGTTCAAAAGCAGCGTCTGGCATGAGACTGAGCCTCTGGCCATGGGACACCAAGTGCCTATTGAGCGGAGCATCTGTCACAAGCTGGGTGTCCTCGGTTCTAGGGTGGGGTGGTTGGTGTACCAGTAGTCTATTGTCCAATGGTCATGGTGCATTCAAGATCCAGGTCAAGCAGGTTGGGTGTGACTTGCCAGTAGTTATGTGGACCGTGACCTGGGCCACCTTCTCTTTACAACTGGAGCCCCGGTGCCTCTCCCTCAGCTCACGTGTCTAGCTTCTTAGGGTTGTTGTTGTTAAATGCTGTTGATTCTGACTCACAGCGACCCGATGTAGGGTTTCTGAGGAGCAGCTGGTGGGTTTGAATCCGCCGACTTTGTGGCTCAAACTGACCTTGCAGTCCAGTGCATTATCCTGCGGCACCACACCAGGACTTGACCCATGCTAAGCCACAAAAATGTGACCTGCAATCTAGAGAGGAAACAGTCAAAAGAAACGTCAGAGATGGCCCAGATGATGGAATCGTAAAACAGGAACTGGAACCCTAAAACCACTGGGATGAAAGTGCTAAAGCACTGATTCTGAAAGGTAGAAACCAGGTAAGAAGAGGTGGAAGCAATTGAGTATAGATGTGGAAACTGTATGTATTTATTGTTGTAGTTAAGTGACGTTGGGTCAGTTCTGACTCAGAGCGACCCTGTGTAGGGTTTCCAAGGAGAGACTGGTGAGCTTGAACCGCCAACCTTGCAGTCCAGTTCATTAATCCCCAGCACCACACCAGGACCCTACAAATATATATACACATATGTATATCTTTAAATAGAAATTCTTGAAATACAAAAAAAAGATATGATCAATGAAGAGTTCATTCGATGAGTTGACAGATTAGAAAAGCCGACAAAAAGACATGTGACCAAAGTCGGCAGAAATGATACAAACTAAACCAAAAAGCAAGTGTGGTGAAGAGACAGCACACTGTCTGAGACAATTGTTGCTGTTGTCATTGTTAAGTGCCACCTAGTCGGTTCCAACTCACAGTGATCCTGTCTAAGGTTTCCAAGGAGCAGCTGGTATGTTTGAACCACTGGCCTTGTGGCTCAAACTGATCTTGCAGTCCAACAATTCAAAATGCATAAAATAGTTGGACATAAATGTAGTTGGAGTGCTGAAGGAGAAAGGATGGCTAAGGAGACGGAAGAAATATTTGAAGAGAGACTAGCTGTGACCTCTCAAATACTGTTGGAAGGTATCAATTCATAGAGTAAGCAGCTCAGAAAATCCCAAGCGCCATGAATACCGAGAAGACCACAGTCAGGTGCATCCTAGACAATGGTCTGCTGAAAACCGAAGACCAGGAGCAGAACACAGGAGCACCCAGAGGGGAAGAGCACGTCCCATGAGAGCTCTGGAGGCTTGCTTCTCACTGGGAGCAGGGCAGACCAGCTGACAGGGCAATAGCATCGTTTAAGTGCTGAAAGAAAACAACAATTGTTGACTTAGACTTTCATGTCCAGTGAAAACATCCTTTGAAAATAAAGACATTCTCATTCAGAGAAGACTGAGAAGCTACCTCCAGCAGACCAGCCAGACAAGAAATGCTACAGGGACTAACACCAGATGGGACTCTAGGGTTACCAGAAGGAATGAAGGTTACCAGAAAGGAAAACCACCTTGGTAAAGGCTATTAAAGACCATTTATAGTACCCTTTATTTCATATTATTCTTTTATAATATATACTTTCGTAAAAAAAATCATTACAAGACTATTGATAGTTTGAAAAAATTGGAAAAAATACTTTTTGAGAAGGTTTATATATAGTGTGGAGTCCTGGTGTGGTGCTGTGGGTTAATGCACCAGACTGCAAAGCCATTTGAACTGCAAAGTTGGTGGTTCAAACTCACCAGCTACTCCTTCAAAACCCTATACAGGGTCACTATGGGTCAGAATCTACTCGACGGCACTTCACAACAGCAACATATATAATGTGGCACTGTAGGATAAGCACTGGGCCACAAGGTAAGCTTGAACTGCAAGGTCGGCAGTTCAAACTCACCAGTCGCTCCTCAGAAATGCTTTACAGGGGTTGTTGTGGGTCGGAACCGACTCAATGACACTTAACAGCAACAATACCTGTCCCACATATATATACATAGATATGTGTTACACACTGTTGTTTTTTGTTAAGTGCTGTCGGCTTATGACCCTATGTACATGTGATTAGGTACCCTTGAATTGGTTCCGACTCATAATGACCCTTATGTACGTGTAGTTAGGTACCCTTGAATTGGTTCCGACTCATAACGACCCTATGTACGTGTAGTTAGGTACCCTTGAATTGGTTCCAATCCATA